GATATTCGGAGGAGCCTCCAAACATGGGTATGAACTAAATCCTTGTATGGATTTGTTTTTACACAGATTTTATTTTACGTTTTAAGTTTATGTTTGTGAACAATACAATCTACGCCTGGATTTTGGGATGTGCAAGTGATTTTCTCGTTTGTATAATTACATTTTTCCACTGCGTGAATCTGGTCACTTACCAACACTGTGGTCAGAGGAACAGGGTCTTGAACCTCCAACTTGGGCCCAACCTCCTTGCCACCCTTCTCGACCTTTTCCTAGCCCTTGCTGTCATCCTCGGAGTCATCCGAGTACATGTAGGTCATCCTCTGAGTCTCGACTTGCATCATTTCGACCTCTTTCTGATAAGCTCACGAAAGGAAAGGAAAGAAAAGTCAATTGACAGATGAGCCTCCCATAATTTCTGCACGAGGAAGACCGACGTCTCCTAGGATCGAGTAGTGATGGCCTCGTTCAGCTTCTCGATCCTAAGCCTGAGTTTCTTGGCCTCACTTTCGACATTTTTCCAACCCACCATTTCCTGGGTAAGGTCGAGCGAAGTCTGCTTGAATTTGGCCTCCCAGCTCGTTGTTGCTTTCTAGGCCAAGGAAAGCTCAGAGTTTAGCTTCTTGTTGGCTCCACATTGTTGAGCCAAACTTTAGTCAACCTCTGCTACCTTAGCTTCAGCCTTACCCCGAGCAACCTCCCTCGCCTTGAGTTTGTCAGGGAACTTCCTTTCTTTGACCCCAAAGGCCGCAACTTCCTCCTTAAGGCGTTCGAGCTCGGCTTGCCTAGCTCCCTATCTTTCTCCGCAACCTCGGCCCTAGCCAAGGCATCCTCTTTTACCATCTCCGCTAGCATCCATCCCTTGTGAGTTCCCTCCAAGGTTTGGCCACATTCTTCGTATAGGAGTCGGCTCGCCATGGCAACCTGAAAACGAAAAGGTAAGGAGCGAGCAAAAAACAAAAATAGCATTCAAAAAAGGGAAGCGAGCTACCAATACCTTAGCCGCATAACTACAGGTTAAAGCCAATATCTGGGAGGGAGCTGAGTCCTTGATGACACCGAATGTTCGCAGGGTGATGCAATCCCTGGCCACCGCAGCCTCAACACCGACATGGTCAGGGAGTTGGTCGATCAAAGCGTCGACGTCAACCTTAATCGCTTCGCCCGTCTCCCCATCCTTTGGCTTGGACGAGCCAAGTCTACTCCCCCCTAAAGCAACTATCGCACCCGCAGGGGCAAGCTTCTTCTTGGCCAAGTTTTTTGCCATGCTTTTCTGAAAGTCGCCAGCCTACGTGGCAACCTCCTTGCCCGAGCGCCCTTGAGGCTCAGTCACCTTCTTCTTCCCCGAGCCATTGTGCTGCTTGGGTGCTTTACCTTTTCCCAAGCCTTCGGTTGGCTCGGACATCTTCTTCGTTGACCTCTTGTAGGCCCGATGGCGTTTTTCCCACCAACTGCTTTAGAGGCGGTCGCGAATTTCTTCACGCTTGGGCCTTCCGCAAGCTCGCCTCTGGCACACTTCATGATGGCAACATCCACAGGGCTGTTTCGTCACTAGAGCAGTCGGTGCCTTCTGGGCAGCCGCCAAGGCTACTGTTTTCTTCTTAAGGCTTTTGGGTTTTTTGGCCCATATTTTTGCAAGGAAAAAGGGAAACAAGTTAGCGATTAATTTGCGCGGGAAATCAAACGCAAACAAGCAACAACTTGCCTTTTTCCAAAAGCACTAAAAATCTGGCCTCGTCCTTACAAAGTCGTACGCCTTTAGGTGAGGAGGCATAAAAACCTCATGGACATTGCACGAATTGTCAGGAAGATCACTGAAATGCTGCAATCTTTGCAACCTCGCCTCCAGAAGATAGTTCTGCTCGACGTTAACTGCAATAGAAAGTAATTCGGTTAGATAATGAAGCAAAGCTCGAAACTTGTCCTCGCGTATGCGAGCAACCAAAGCCTTACTCGCTTATGGAGCAAAGACACCACTCATCTCGACTTCGTAGAAGAAGAATTAGGAATCCCAATGTGGGACCTTCTTTGGGATATCGACCAGCCCATTGAAACGTACTTTCCTTGCCTTGGAAAGGTAGTATGTCTGGTATTGCCCCTTTTTGAGCCTGTACAAGTGGACAAACTCTTCAACGGACAGCTCGCCTAGCTCAGCGATCATGTACGCGATATATACCCGGTAATGATCAAGTAAGAGTTGGCCATCAGTTGGAGATGAGCGATGTCGAATCGCCTTAACACTTTATCGATGAAAGGGTGCGGGGGAATGGATACCCCGCACCTAAGGAGAGTCTCGGAAATTGCCACCTATCCAGCTGGAGGGTTCTTCCGAGAGTGTTCTCCCGGGACCATCAGGTTGAGCTGCAGCGCGTAGGTCACCCTGATGCATTCAAGATCCTTGAGGGTGATTGAAGATTGTGGCTCTTTTCATAGCTTATGAGTTGGAGGGTTCAGGGAATAAGCCAATTGGATCGAAGCATGGTCGGACAAGCCCACAACATTGGGGTCTAAACTTCTGGTGACAAACTCTTCAGATATCTCGAGAGACATCCCCTAGTGCTGCCTAGCCAACCGGTGAATCGAACATTTGATATATTGTGTGACTGCTAGACAAGGATATGGTTGTAACTCGACTCTGGGTACTTGAAAAAAGAAGCGAACATGTGTTAGAGCTTAAATAACTCGACGACCATTCCACATTCGCTTCTATCTCAAGTACCTGAAATAGCTCGCGTAACACAACAAAGCCACCCGACCTACCCAAGACACCGGTGGCCACCGCGATTAAACCCCTTTAAGACCAAAGACCGTCGGAAATGCACCCCAAAAGCCCTATTAAAACCTTAAAACATCTAATGTGACCATTACAGCAGCCACCCTTTAGCACAAAAGTCAGGAAAATGAGCAAGGAAGAGAAAGAAGTCCTACCAAAATGAAGAAGAACGCTGAGAACTCATAAGAAAGACCACCGCAACGACGTAAGAGTAACAGCAAAGAAAAGCAAGAGGGTGGAAGAACTTTCAGAGTGGTTGTTCTGACGATATTCGCCACCTTTTATAGTGATTTTTGCATGGAAGACAAAAGGGCAGAGTTCAATCTCGACCATCGACTTACAACTGATCCTAGCCTTTTGTTCGTTGAGCAATCTCAGCCCTTAGACGTGGCCACGTGTCGACCATCCACGAAGTGCGATGAACCGTCGGATTGATTACCATGATAACCGTCGTCGCATGACGACTCAACTTCGCACGTAACAACTATTATCGCCCATGCGGGACGAAACGTAACTGACAAAGGCTACCACATTTAATGCGACACGACCACATGGAAATTACATTTATACCCTGAATTTTTATATTCTAAGTTTTGACAGGTGGCACAGGTAATAATGTTCAAGCGTGAAGAATGTCGACCAGACGTAAGCTCGGTCGTGGAAGCCCAATCAAGCATGCACTCAGAGACTCACTGTTGAAGCCGAGAATGGCATCAAATCAAACGATAGTCTTCGAAGCCCGAAACGAGCATCGAACATTAGGGGGCAGATGTTGTGTGTGGTTTTTCCGCCAAGCTCAGGCTAACGTGAGGATATAGCTCGACTCAGAATGATCTCGGCAACTATGATTGATCAACCCAACATAAGCTCGTCGAGTCGTAGCTCGACCCAGCACAAGCTAGTCGCGGACAATCCGAGGAATTAATCAATCAAGTCCCAGATTACTTCAGATCCCGAATATCGCGGGAACGACTCAATCAACAATTGTCGTTGCGCGATCATAGCGCCCAATCGCAAGGATATCGAGATTATGAATAAAATCATCCGTAATCCCTTTAATTTAGTTCTTTCCTTTATGTAAATCTTGTATATAAACCCCTTAAAACGATGAGGAGGGAGATACGAATTCTGGATAAAAACTACAGTATAAGCTCTCACAACATATACAAAAAACACAATGGACGTGGACTGTTAACTTCGCCGAACCACTTTAAAAGTTCTCTTTGTCATTTACTTTCTGGTGTTATCATTCACTCATCGCTGACTACCCATAATCACGCACACATCAGTTCCGACCTCGACAAGGTCAATCGGATCTCGTTAGTTGGTGCAGAATTCTGTATCAACATCTATAAAACTAATTTATTAAATAAATTGTAAAAAAAAAATATAATTAAATTAAATAAATAGATGGTCATTTAGAATTACAGTATCTTTAAAAGTTTTAAAAAGTAGAAAAACTTGTAGAAAATTTTAATATAAATAGTACTTTTTTGTAACTTATATATATATTAATTAAAAATAATAATAATAGGGTTTGCAAGAGTTTTGGTGGGTTTTTGAATAACTACGCTCAAAATCAAATTCACAAAACTAATCGGACCATAATCCGCCCTAAGAGTAAGAGGGCGATGGAGGTTCATGAACAAATAAGTATGGGCTAGCCCGCAATCTTGGTAATCGCAAGCCTGCCAGGCGAGGCCCAAGCCACGATGTGGCCATTTTGCGGTCAAGTGCAGCGTTACCAGCCACAAACTAGCCCGTCTGAATTTGATTTTCTTTCTTTCTTTTTTTTTTAATTTTTAATTTCTTTTTAATTAGGGTTTAAAGCAAGAAATTGTTTAAGACTTGTTTCCTGATATATAAAATGAAAGAAATGACAAAATACCTTTTAATCATCGAAGTTAACGTCTAAATTTGAAAACAGGGGCTAAAATACATTGCATTACATAGGGGGTCGAAATTATTCAGCATTTTTATAAAGTTAAATAGGGTTTCCTTCGCTTAAACAGTAATGGGCAAAATTTAATAATTATAATAATAATAACAAAATACTTGGTGTTATGGAGAAAACAACTGCCAAATTTTAGAAGATGCCTTAAGACACCAGTTTCACTAAATTGCAAACTTTTGATACATGATCAAGGGTTTTACTGCCGAAAGTTCTATGATAGACAATTTCACGATAATAGCCCAGTATAGCATAAATCTCTGCCACTACAAACTGTGAAGAACCATTGAAGATCATGAGATGCAGTCTTGTATATATAATACAAATTTCATTGTACATGAACCCCTGATGACTAACCATATATCCTATTCAACATCGGTATTGCTACTACTCGCTAATGCTACAAGCACAGTTAACTGTTAATCAGTCCAGCAATAACTATCCTTACACATCTAACCCTGCTAATAAGTCAAAATTTTACAAGTAAAAGATACAAGCAATATCGACTCCAAGCAAGGGATTCAAGTCATCGACAAAGTAATCAACTCCTAGCAATAACTTACAGCATCAGGCAATCAAAACCTTCTCCAGAAGTGTATCTCAAAAAAAAAAAAAAAACACCATCCAAGCATAATCTGGTGTAGCCGAACAGCTGAATTACGGTTAATTGACATTAACTTAAAAGTAATGGAGTTAGCTAGAGGTTAGGTGACAGCACCTGGTAATGCACCAGAATGAAAGGATCCACAGATTAGACAATCTTTCCAGTTAGATCAATATATGTACCAACTTGTTCTCCACATATAGCTTTTGAGATGTTTGCAGGTTCAAGAAGATTAAAGATCACAACTGTCAAAAAAGTAAAACAAATTAGAGGGGCTGGGATCAAATCCCAACAATAATCCAATAACAGAAATTCCAGAGCCTTAGATTATTTTTCACAGCATATCACCATAGAATGGAAAGTGTTCATTATGATCAATAATAGTAGTTCTGTCACGGGATTATAGAACTATAAAACTAACAATCTTGTCTTCTGACCATTAAAAGTAGTAGGCTAAAACAACCTCACTACGGGAAATCCTTAAACATTCAAATAGATGCAATCAGACAACCAAATCAGCTAGAGATCCCCGTATCAAAATGAAAATGAACTCTGAAACAAAACAATTATAAGGAAAAATACCAACCAGGTATGCTGTTTTCCTCACAGAAGGAGAGTGCCATCGAATCCATTGGTATTACACCTCTAGAGTCCAACTCCCTGAAAGAGATGTGCTCAAAAGAAGCATTGCTGTCCCGGAAGCGAAAATCATATAAACCATCAAAATTGGTACCTTTGAGGACAGCCTCAGCATTAACTGGAAAGCAAAGAGAGAGTCAGTAAAATTTAAATAAATGCAACATTGAACACACACACAGATATTAAATAGAAATACAAGATTTATCGGACAATCTTAGCAAAATCAATGGTTGGAGCAGAAATATACTCTCTGTAGCTCTAAGTGCTGCAGCTGTGTCAGTGGAAAAGAGTGGATTTCCAATCCCAGCACCAATGCCACCAAATATTACAACTCTTCCTTTCTCAAGATGCCGTATAGCTCGTTGCCTATTGTATGGTTCAGTAACCTCCTGCACTGGAAAAGCAGTTTGTACGCGTGTCTGAACACCCATCTTCTCTAATGCTGACTGGAGCAATATAGAATTCATCACACTTGCCATCATTCTGGTACAAATTGCAAAGTCACAACTGGCTTAGGTCATAACTAATGACATATTTATGAATCACAGTCATATTAATCAAGTGAAATCAACAAATAGCATTGAAAGAAATATATATCCTATTATTTCATCCAAACTGATATAGAAAACAAGGTTCTTTCATATGAATTTCCATCAATCCATCATTATAGCATATGATCATCCAAACCTTTGTTCTATTGACGGTAACCAAAACGACAATTCCAGATCACACAGGCCATGTCACCCCTTACCATAAAACATATCTTCCTCCCTTCCTCAAAAAGTTATTACAGTGAATTGATATTGCAATTTGCAAATAATGTTCAACTGGAGATGACAACTAAGGGAAGTCGAATTAATAAGCTCTGATAAGGCAGTTATATATTAAACCTCTTGTGTTCTTAACTCATAAGATTTCACCCCTTTATCTCCCCTTATAAAAATAAATAAATAAATAAATAAAAAAAGGTCAAAGAAATTAAATTTTAGAACTTCAATAAGTGCCTACTTCTAAATATAAGACAAATCTATATTTAGTTACGAAATTTCTTCAGTCTATCTCGTTAAACTACCTATCGCTTAATTATAATTTCATCAGAAAAAGGCACTTCATGAAATTTTAGCCAAAGGTCAACTGTGATTGTTATCAAATCATCAATCAAATTACAATCACAGGTATACAGGAAAAACAAGATATATATAACATTTACAAAAGATTATCAATACAAAAACAAACAAATGGCTTGCTTCATCTTGTATGCTTTACTTTAGACATTAAAATGATTTGACATAAAACCTGATGTGTTTTGGGAAAGCATAGATAATGCACTATTGAGTCTAGTAAAAACCACATTACCCAATTTGGTAAGCAGTACTTCTATCTGAACCCGTTTCATTTACCCATGTATTTCCACAAAAGAAATTACGACCTCCAACAACAATTGCAACCTGAAATACCACACACGAAGAAGAATGTTACATGTCGCATAGAAAAAGGGAAAGATAAAGAGAGAATGCAACTGTCCCAGGTTGCAGATAATAAATGTGGCTACGAATACCTCTATTCCAAGGCGGCAAGCAGTTGAAACTTCTTCCGCAATCAGCATGGCCACCTAACATAAACAAAATCAATTTGAATAAGGCTCTAATCTGAGCACAAACATTGAGGTCAGATTGCTCTTCACTTGATAACAAGGTCAGCAACCAAGGCTATCCGTTTAAGTTTCTATATCTAGAAAGATGTCAGGATGAACCTTTGAGTCAATGTTGCTATGGTCAGCACCAGAAAGAGCAACACCACTAATTTTGAAGACTACTCTCCGCCATCTAGGGCTTGGCTTGGGCTTCACATTATTTATCGGAACTGTTGAGCTTGGTGTAGCTGCACTATATCTGAAAATAGCAAAAAAAAAAATATATTATAAGAATTATAATAATACCCCTCAATTTTTCTGATGCGAAAAACATATGACAAACACAGAAACCAATACTCAAGTTGAAAGGCAAAACAAAGAACATAACAAAGTCTAAAATTTCAGAGAACATTATAAAATTTGTATTGCCACATCTCAATGGTGACCGTACAATCAATAAAATTTTAACACCAATGAAATGGAAGAACCAAGCCACTTCAAAACGAAATCAAATAAACCGAAACATAAACTATCAAAGTCTAGCGGATAACAGGACTAGAAGATACGCCTATTACATTTGAAGGGGATAGGGACAGTGGAAATGAGATAGCTAGTTTAATTGGCAAAATGGTTTTATTGCCACCCAAAAGAAGAGGACCGTAAAAGCATGTTATGTTACATGCAATTACAATCCATTAAATGAGCAAAGCAGCAAATTGTGGCCAGCTAAAAGCAAATAAAATGATTAATTAAGGATGCATCTTACTGCAACACAATAAGCCTTGATTAAGTAAGCTCAACAAGTAAACAATCAACCTACCATTCTATTTAATAAAATGAAATCTAAAATAAAAATAAAAAACAGAAGAAGTGCGCAAGCCATTTACCCATGTGCTGAAAACAGAAAATAGCGTTGCCAAGGAATACAGTTGATGCGATATTTACAAGAAACAGCAACCAATGCACAAATGATTTCTGAATGTATTTTCTCAAGCCATGAAAACCACAGCTAATAACAGATTTAAATTTTGGGAACATATAAATGACACATCAAAAACAAGTATATTAAACACAAGCAAGCTGAAAGGAAGATCATTTAGTGGCTACATTTCCACAAAGGTAATGTAGAATCAAAAGTGCCCCTCAAGAGACAAATTTTTCGTCTCTTTTCAGTTGGTGCAATTCTATTTAGGCTAACANGGCCATGTCACCCCTTACCATAAAACATATCTTCCTCCCTTCCTCAAAAAGTTTATACAGTGAATTGATATTGCAATTTGCAAATAATGCTCAACTGGAGATGACAACTAAGGGAAGTCGAATTAATAAGCTCTGATAAGGCAGTTATATATTAAACCTCTTCTGTTCTTAACTCATAAGATTTCACCCCTTTATCTCCCCTTATAAAAATAAATAAATAAATAAATAAAAAAAGGTCAAAGAAATTAAATTTTAGAACTTCAATAAGTGCCTACTTCTAAATATAAGACAAATCTATATTTAGTTACGAAATTTCTTCAGTCTATCTCGTTAAACTACCTATCGCTTAATTATAATTTCATCAGAAAAAGGCACTTCATGAAATTTTAGCCAAAGGTCAACTGTGATTGTTATCAAATCATCAATCAAATTACAATCACAGGTATACAGGAAAAACAAGATATATATAACATTTACAAAAGATTATCAATACAAAAACAAACAAATGGCTTGCTTCATCTTGTATGCTTTACTTTAGACATTAAAATGATTTGACATAAAACCTGATGTGTTTTGGGAAAGCATAGATAATGCACTATTGAGTCTAGTAAAAACCACATTACCCAATTTGGTAAGCAGTACTTCTATCTGAACCCGTTTCATTTACCCATGTATTTCCACAAAAGAAATTACGACCTCCAACAACAATTGCAACCTGAAATACCACACACGAAGAAGAATGTTACATGTCGCATAGAAAAAGGGAAAGATAAAGAGAGAATGCAACTGTCCCAGGTTGCAGATAATAAATGTGGCTACGAATACCTCTATTCCAAGGCGGCAAGCAGTTGAAACTTCTTCCGCAATCAGCATGGCCACCTAACATAAACAAAATCAATTTGAATAAGGCTCTAATCTGAGCACAAACATTGAGGTCAGATTGCTCTTCACTTGATAACAAGGTCAGCAACCAAGGCTATCCGTTTAAGTTTCTATATCTAGAAAGATGTCAGGATGAACCTTTGAGTCAATGTTGCTATGGTCAGCACCAGAAAGAGCAACACCACTAATTTTGAAGACTACTCTCCGCCATCTAGGGCTTGGCTTGGGCTTCACATTATTTATCGGAACTGTTGAGCTTGGTGTAGCTGCACTATATCTGAAAATAGCAAAAAAAAAAATATATTATAAGAATTATAATAATACCCCTCAATTTTTCTGATGCGAAAAACATATGACAAACACAGAAACCAATACTCAAGTTGAAAGGCAAAACAAAGAACATAACAAAGTCTAAAATTTCAGAGAACATTATAAAATTTGTATTGCCACATCTCAATGGTGACCGTACAATCAATAAAATTTTAACACCAATGAAATGGAAGAACCAAGCCACTTCAAAACGAAATCAAATAAACCGAAACATAAACTATCAAAGTCTAGCGGATAACAGGACTAGAAGATACGCCTATTACATTTGAAGGGGATAGGGACAGTGGAAATGAGATAGCTAGTTTAATTGGCAAAATGGTTTTATTGCCACCCAAAAGAAGAGGACCGTAAAAGCATGTTATGTTACATGCAATTACAATCCATTAAATGAGCAAAGCAGCAAATTGTGGCCAGCTAAAAGCAAATAAAATGATTAATTAAGGATGCATCTTACTGCAACACAATAAGCCTTGATTAAGTAAGCTCAACAAGTAAACAATCAACCTACCATTCTATTTAATAAAATGAAATCTAAAATAAAAATAAAAAACAGAAGAAGTGCGCAAGCCATTTACCCATGTGCTGAAAACAGAAAATAGCGTTGCCAAGGAATACAGTTGATGCGATATTTACAAGAAACAGCAACCAATGCACAAATGATTTCTGAATGTATTTTCTCAAGCCATGAAAACCACAGCTAATAACAGATTTAAATTTTGGGAACATATAAATGACACATCAAAAACAAGTATATTAAACACAAGCAAGCTGAAAGGAAGATCATTTAGTGGCTACATTTCCACAAAGGTAACGTAGAATCAAAAGTGCCCCTCAAGAGACAAATTTTTCGTCTCTTTTCAGTTGGTGCAATTCTATTTAGGCTAACACCTCCCTCTACTCAAGAAAGCAAAGTACTCTAGCACATTCATATACCGAGACCATTGACATGTGATTCTAAATATCAAAATATAAATAAGGGACAGCCACAAATTCTAAAAAATGAAAAACAAATAAAGTTTCCACCATACCTAAGATATTAACATAATCCTAACCGCAATGGTCCATATCTTCCTATATGTTTACCATCATGTATTACAAATTATCCGTAAAATTTTGCTGTAAGAACTTAAAGCTTTACAAAACAAATACACGAGAAGAATACAATATACCTCTTGGATTGCCTAACCGAATTAGAAATGGAAGAGCCACTTCCTTTATCTTCATCAGCCACATTCTTAACAGGCACTGAATTTCCAACAATTTGTTCCATCTTTTTAAACCACGGCCAATGACTGGTCGAAATTCCACCATTATTCATCCTGTGCCGCTCCAACTTATACCTTTTCTTCAAATTATCAACCTTGTTCTTACACTGCTCCACACTCTTGCTGTGCTTCTCGCACCGCTCACTCACGGTCACCGCCACCTCCTCCCAGTCCCTTCCCCTCAGATTCCCCCTATTCAACTGCATAAACTTGTCCAAATACGCGTCAAGAAGGCACGCGATCGCCGCGTCGCTCCACTCCTCCCGATCCTTCCTGTACTCGTTCTGATACTGCTTCGACTTCTTCGAACTGTACGGGCTACTGACATTACTAACGTCTCCATTGTTGACATCTTCCCGATCTTTCCTTTTCTCCGCCGTCCGTGCAACCACGATTTGAGAATTATTATTGTTGTTGTTGTTAGCGGAATTGAAAGCCGAATCGATAGCGTTTTCTTCTTCGTCGTCTCCACATCGCACGCCGATGTTCTCGGGGATCCGTTGAGGCTGCGACGCGTGTCCAGGTTCGAAACGTTGAGGCGTGTAGGGTGATCGTTCTATTTGTTGTTGTTGGTAGATCTGGTGGTGGTGGTCGTCACCAAGGAGCGGAAAATCGTCGTCACAAGAGGCCATTAGGGGACGTTAGGGTTAGGGTTTGTTGGTGAACGGCGACGTTAGAGACGGGATGAGACGTTGAAGGAAGAGAGAAGAAGAGGTTTAACGGAAGGGGAGTATCGTGAGATAGAGAGCTGGGCCGTGACGGATGGTGACGGTTCCGTTAAGTAATAAGGGAAGTGTACGGACACGTGGTTAGAGCTGAATGGGTGAGAACATACCGTGGACATTTTTGTTGATTTGTTTTGGAGATTTAAATTTGAATGGTAGATTGTTTGCCTCTTTTGGGCACGTTTGGTGGCGTTGGGTGGGGAGTTGTTGAATTGCAACACCTTCACCGTTACTCTAACAAAGGGAAAGAAACACATGTAACCTAAAGTAGCATTTACCTCCCCCAGGTTGCCAAAATTAACAAAGACACCCTATATATAGTAAACAGTAAATTTTATATAATGATAATAATAACTAGAAGTGTTCGATTCTGGGTACCTTGCATTTTTTAAAGGAACCAGAACTAACGGTTCCTTGAAATTTGGAACCGAAACCGGAACTGGAACCGACGGTTCCGATTCCTAGGTACCCAGAACCGACGGTTTCGATTCCTAGGTACCTAGAACCAAAACCTGTAACAACGGTTCTGGTTCCGGTTCTAGGTACCTTGTAAAATTCATGACCCCTAAAAGGTTTTTAAAATGACAAAAAAAACCCTTAAAAACTTACAAATAACCCCTCACCTGGAACTTGTTAACAAAAATAAAATTACAAATTATAAATTAAAAATTAAAAACACCATTACTTTGTAAAGATAGATTCTCAAAAGTCAAACCAATTTACTTTAAATGTTATGAAATATAAATATAAATGTATTCACATTACTTTTTCTACAAAAGTTTTTATTAACCCCCTACTCCTTAATTTTATTTTATATTAGTTTCGGTTCCTGGTTCCGGTTCCTAACTATAGGAACTAGAACCGGAACCAGAACCGCACAGTAATGGTTTCAAAAATTTGGAACCGGAACCTATCCGTTGACGGTCGGTTCCGGGTAGGAACCGAAACCAAAACCCGGGTACCCGCCGGTTCCGATTTCAATCGATTCTTTTAAACACCCCTAATAATAACCTTGATAAAATGTAGTAAAGAACACAAGTATGTCTTGTCAGCCAATCGGTTAAGGGCTAGAAAGTGTATTCGTTTATGAATTTGTTTAGAGTTTTTTTTTTTTTAAATATTAAAAAGGAATGATTTAAAAAAAAAAATGAAAATGCATTTGTCATATTTGTCTGAAAATGATATTTTAAAAATTATAATATAATTCGAAATCATGTTTGGCAACAAAACATAGTCAAATTGGATTTTAACTTGATCTAGTTGAAGAAATAAAATAGAATATGGTTCAATTTTCACTAAGTTCTATTTAAAAGAGAGAAAATGTTTATAGAGAAAAGAAGACATAAAAATTTGCTGAGTTTTCTTTGTGTTTAGAAAAAAAACAAAAACAAAAAGTAAATGAACGGAGACATTTTGCATCTTACAAGAGAAAAAAATGACAATATGAAAAAGAGAAACATTAACCTTTATAATCAATAAAAATCTTGTATTCAAATAAATGTAAAAATTAATTTGTATAATATAAGAAAGAAGTTTTCATTTTCAATTAAAGGAAAATATATTCTTGTTTTGCAAAATATTAAAATATTTCTTTCATGATTTTAAAGAGTATTTTCATCCTAATGAGACTTTTTTGAAAAACTAAATGAAAATGACACAATTCACATTTCTACCAAACAATGGACACTTAACGATGTTAATCAGGCTGCAATATTAACTGCATAAATAGGTGTTTAAATAATTTTCATCATACACACATACAGATTTGAAATATCATCATCAGATGTAGTCAGGGATGGGCATTTTCCCTGCCCCGTTGGGGACCCAGACTGAACAGGGTAGAGATTCCCTGAATGGTTCAAGGACTGGACCAGGTCTGGGCCAAAATTCAATCCCCAAAATTTGCCCTAGCCCGATCCATCTCTGCCCCACCCTGATAAATATGTTATATATGTATATATATATCATTTGATATACACAATATATATGTATAATGTATAATGTATAATTTATAATGTATAATGTATATGTATAATATATCATATGTATTATACATTATACATAATATGCTATGAAACAAAATTTATACATTATACATTATATATTATACATTATACATAATATGTTATTATCCATAATCATTTGCTATTTTGATTCATTATAATAAATCAATAAATCACTATAAATATTTTTAATACATAATAAGTATGTTATATATGTATAATGTATCATTTGATATACATAATATATATGTTATATATGTATAACGTGTCATTTGATACTTTGATTCATTGAGTCATTATTTAAATTCCATTATCTAATTACCCTTGTTATATTTTTATAATTACGGATTTGCCCTTCATTTATAAACACAAATTTTGCCCACACAATTTGTGAAATCAACATCTAAATTTGGGGATTTCGAGGATTCCTCGAATTCCCTATTTAGGGATTGGGCCTAATTTGGGGATTCCTTGAATTCCTCGTTCAGGGAACAGGCCGGATTGGGGGAATCCCCCTAGGCTTTTAGGCCGAGCTCGAAGACATGGGTCCCCGACCCATGCCCATCCCTAGATGTGATTGCTTTTGTGCTAGACTGCTAACACCACATTGATTACAGGATTATAGGTAATGGTGAAAAAGCAACTCGCCCGGCCCGCAGCGGGTTGGCAGTTTTGGCAAGCCAGGTCATTTTTCTATAATCGATGTGATATTGATACATAAGTAACTTTATCAGTTGGAATCCCTGTTAGAAATATTTTAAATCACATAAGGTGGTCCATGGTTGTTTTGAAATAATTAAATTGGCTAAGGTGCATGATGGTTATTTACCTTTGATGGAGAGGTTAATACAGTTAATAAAATAATTGCAGTTTGATAGTTAATAAAATTGCTATATAAAAGGGGTCTTCTCTCTCTGTTTCTAACGTGGGTTTTTCTTTTTCCATCAAAAGAAATAAACAATTGACAAAATGGAAAAGGAGAGAGATACACTACCTTCTTTTACATCATCAAGAAATTAATCATGGAACCAGATATGTATTACTTTTTTAATAAATAGTGAATATTAATCAAGTTTCAGATTCTGAGATTTAATGTTTATGCAATTTAGGGTATAAAAATATGATTATATTACTAATTCTTTGCCATTGATGAAATTGCAATTAAGTTTTACAAGTGGTATTAGAGCAAATTCAGGTTTAGAAACTGATGTATTTTCCATTAAGTTAATTTTTTATATATCATAGTTCTTATGGTATAAAGAAATTAGATTGGGTTTGGAAATTGATAAATAGGAAGGTTGTGGTTAAAATAGATTAAAGAATACCTCTTAAGTGGTTGGAAAGTTGGCCAGAATCGAATTTTTCTTATGCTAAAATGTCTAGATGCATTTTTCAATAAAAAAAATTCCATAAATTTGGGTTCCATAATATTTCCAGAAATTTGGGTCAAATATTGACCCATATAATAACACTATTCCTTTAGTTGATCTAGACCATTTGTTTTTTTAAAGCCTATTTTTTTTAGTTTATAAAAACTCATTAAGAAGCCTTAGCCCTATTTATTAAGTGAGCCCAATTCAAACACAAACCCATTAAGAATCAGTGTTCTGAAAACTAGACCGGACCGGCCGGTTCGACCGGGTTTCGGAAGGAAAAGCGGTTCACAAACTAATAAAAACCATTCTCAACGATCGGACCATTTTAAACTTCAAATGAACCGCTTAAACAGTGGAAGACCACCGGTCCAACTAATATGTTTCTTTTTTTTTTCTTCGGCTTCAAAAATCCAACTTCATTCATCTTCTCTTTCACCTTCATTCATCTTCGGTTAGATTTGAGCTTAGAATGTNTTAATTCTTCAAATAAGGGCATTTTGGTCATTTCACACTAGACATAATTATTACTTAATTAATGCTATTAAATGCAATGAAGCCTACTCATCCTTGACTTTTTCCATGCTTATCCACAGGTAAAATGACCATTTCGCCCCTAATGTCTTTCTATGGATAATTGATTCATACCGTTTCAAATGAATCGACTATTTTGCCCTTAGTTAGATTTTATGATTTTTAACATAAAATTAACATCTAAATGACTATTTTGAGTTAAGAACATACCTTTGACATCTTGGGTTAGTACACCACAGACCCGATTGGAGAGATTTGTGGGTGGACTTCATCCTACTATCGCCAGAGATGTTATGTCAGGTCATCAATTATATTTTTATAATTACGGATTTGCCCTTCATTTATAAACACAAATTTTTCCCACACAATTTGTGAAATCAACATCTAAATTTGGGGATTTCGAGGATTCCCCGAATTCCTTATTTGGGGATTGGCCCTAATTTGGGGATTCCTTGAATTCCTCGTTCAGGGAACATGCCGGATTCGGGGAATCCCCCTAGGCTTTCGGGCCGAGCCTGGAGACATAGGTCCCCGGCCCATGCCCATCCCTAGATGTGATTGCTTTTATGCTAGACTACTAACACCACATTGATTACAAGATTATAGGTTGACTCAGTTACTTTTCTATAATCAATGTGATATTGATACATAAGTAACTTTATCAGTTGGAATCCCTGTTAGAAATATTTTAATTCACATAAGGTGGTCCATGGTTGTTTTGAAGTTATTTACCTTTGATGGAGAGGTTAATGCAGTTAATAAAATAACTGCAGTTTGATAGTTAATAAAATTGCTATATAAAAGGGTATTCTCTCTCTATTCCTAACGTGAGTTTTTCTTCTTCCATCAAATGAAATAAACAATTGACAGAAAGGAAAAGGAGAGAGATACACTACCTTCTTTTACATCATCAAGAAATTAATCATGGAACCAAGTATGTATTACTTCTTTAATAAATAGTGAATATTAATCAAGTTTCAGATTCTGAGATTTAATGTTTATGCAATTTAGGGTATAAAAATATGATTATATTACTG